TAGGGAAAAACAGGCTGACTGTGAGCAGTCTGGGTCAGCCAATCAGGGCTGCCCTATGCACTAGTGCCATCTGTCAGCAGGGAGACTAAGAAAGCCTGCAGAGCATGCAGAGATGGGTGTACAGGGGCAGAGGAGGTGGTGGTCTCTGGCTGGGCAGTGTCAGCCATACAAGCTCTCTACTGGGAAAATCTCTCTACCAGGAGATCAAACCTGGGAGAATTCTCCCAGATTATTTAAATGTGTGTATCCAGCCATAAAAGGCATCTCTTCATATGCCAGCCTCTGAAGCCCTCACCTATTCTACAAGAAGTTCCCAAGACTTCTCAATTCCTCTGTAGCCCCTAGGAGAGAGAGAATATCACATACTCAGCTGCCAATAATATGTGGACAACATCATCAAAATTCAGGCATCAGTGGTTATGCCCATGCTGATGGAACATAAGTCTCTAAATTAAGTCCATTTGACTGTAGCCAAATAAAGGCAAATGATCCTTAAAGGGTTCTTTCCTCAGATAGTCAAAATGGCCTATGGATGTGTAGAGTCTTTTTACATTCCTTAGTCCATCTAACTGTTGTTATGATCACAAAAGTTTTTTTCTTTCTGTAGCTAGACAGGCAGCTTTGTCCTATTTTATTAGCTTCAAATTCTGCTATAGCGTTCTATACGTTGGTGACCTTCAGCCTTGATTTATTAAAATGAAGACTCTTAGGTTGATGCTGACCTTAAAAAAGTTCAGCAGTTCACTATACAGTAGCCTTACCACTGAGGTCCACAGGGTAATGACTACACCACATCTCACTCACTTTCTCAGATTAGTTTCTCATCAAATGTGGACTCAAAGGGAAAATTTTAATAATGATTACTTAGTTTAGCATTCCAAGTAAATAATGAGTAAGCTTTCTAGGTATTGTTAATTTAGTTTATTTTATCAGAAAGAATGAGGTTAGAAGTCTGAAATCCAGGAAATAACACTGATTTCCAAATGTTCCAACAGAGGATGCTGCCTTTTAACATTCCTGAGTCCTGGAGCAAGAGTCAGGACCCAGAGCTCTCTCCTTCCCAGGCCTGTGTTCTCACTGGGCCACAAAGTCACACTCTTTCTAATCTCTCCTTCTGGCCCAGTGACTTTCCCTTTGGGCTGCCCAGTAGACCATGAGGGGAGGGTCTTCTTGGTCTTTCCTAGCCCATGGTGTGGAAGTTCGGGCACTTTGCTGGGAAGTGGTTGATGTGAGTTCAAACTTTCTGTGGCTGAGAAGGGCCTAGAACCAGGATATGCCCCCTTTTGGTCATTTAAATTAAGTCTCTCTCAAAGAGAGCGGAATCTCTATATGAGATAGCCACATACAAGTTCCCCATTGAGAGAATAGGAGCATATTCTATACTTTTTTGAGTGGATCAGTAAAGTATATGTGTTGTTGGAGCAAGGGAGCTATATGTCTTTGAAGACAGCACAGGCCTCCTCACTGGGCTGCAGAATCACACTCCCTCTTCTACGCTTTCCTATGGTCCCATGCCTTTTTCCCTGGCAGCTGCTCAGTGGGCCATCTTCAACTGGATGGATGGAGGGTGAATTAAGTTTGCTTTCTGGGTGTGTATGAGGCTGCCTATTAAGAAAATTTGAGATGTGTATTTTTTCCTATGAATGGATTTTGATCTCACTCTGAGAGAGGGCATGTCATTTTAATACTAAATGTGGGAAAGATTTAGAGATGGATTAGGACTTGGAGCTATGGTTACAACAAGTTCATACCAGGTAAGCTCAGGCAGGGGTTGACAGCCTACAGCCCACAAGTTAACTCCACCTGCAAAAAGGTCCAGTCCTACCTGCAAAGGTTCAATCTGGCATAGGGGATCAATGGCATGAAGCTGTGCTGTGCCACCCATCCCTTTTGTAGCACTCTCTGCAAGTGCAGATCCTGCTGTTCCTCTGTGCCTCCACTTACTCTCACTGCTGAGGGTAAGCACAGGCAGCTGGCTGCCCCCCAGGGGGTGGGTACGGCACGTGGAGACTTATGGCTTGTGGTAGGGGACCAGGTCACAAAGGGTGGTCTGCACTTCCAAAAGATTGCCAGGCGCTGAACTAGGGCAAGGGTGGATGAACTGCAGCATATATGCCACAAGTGACACAGGCTGGCTCTGTTTGTGGCACACAGCAGATCAGGGAGGGGACAGGCAGTACACTGGCAGATAGGCGACAGTGTGAGGCACAGCTAGGCACCTAAGTCAAAGTGGAAGCCTCAACTTCCAATTTCCACGCGATTGCACTCATGAAAGTATAGGTGCCAGCAGTACCTAGGGTGATTGTCCCTAAGACCTGGCATTTTCCAAAAGGTATCTTGAGTCTAAAAATGTTAATCATTGTCCTATTTAAAAAAACAGAACTTGGTTATCATAGGTTAGATGCATCTTTTTTATCAACATATGTGCTGATGACCTGATTCTGTAGATGTAACATGGTATTTTAGCAACCCTGTTTTATTTTCTTTGGCCGTTAATTGTTCAGCTCCTTAGATGTGTATTCCTGTTAGGCAGTTGAATTGTGAGTGGTAAGGAAAGTAGGTCATGTATATTAAAATCTACACTTCCATTTTCAGTGATCATGAAACATATACTGAAGTCCATTGTCAGAAAATAAATGTCAGAAGTTCTGTGCCTGGTAAATACTGCTATGCTATGATTCATCAGAGTTGGGTGATAGGTTAAGGTACAAGTCAAGTATTATTTACTGTAATTAAGATTGCAAAGAAAATCTCTTTGTTCTGGGTTAATCATGTCAGAATATCCTCAATTTGTAGTGTCCTGACTTCTAAATGCTCAGCTTTTGAGTCTTAAAACACTTGGAAAAGCAACTGTGTAAAAATGTTACTTCATTGCACAAAGCTATTCTTTTATGCAACGTCTTGTTCACAGTGATGCTACTGAAAATCCAAACTAATTAATCTGAAAAGTAACTCAGATAATTTAGTCCATTGTTTACATTTAAAACATTATCTGCTTGTTTTAGTAATAGAAAATGTTTTTTATCACTCTCCCAGTCTTTTTTTTTTTTCTTTTTTCCTTTTTTAACTTTATAGGAGCTAAGACATCCAAGAGAACTT